ACAGAGCCCTTATACATTACAATATATTTTATCGAAAAAATGCGCAAAGTATTCTTGTACTAGTTTGATGGCAGATTACGCTTTCTTCCAATTTCATACCTGAAGAAAGGGTATCTTTCAGTTTCAAAGAAAATTATCTTCTCAGTATGAGTTTTTTTACGACTCTGAAATTTTCAATCATAATGCATCGTATCCATCAATTTATCAATGTTAACTATAACATGGTCCAGATCTATTGCAATTTTTTATATTAACTATGTGACCTCTTCCTCATACCATAAAGAAATATGCACTTTTCCTTAGGCAGCAGGTATACAACACGTAGCATGGAAACCTTGACTTCAACTGTAACGGCCGGCAGGGTTCAAATATATTGGGAACTTTTAAAAACTTTTTAAAACCGAGAAATATCCTTTCTTCAAGGACAACATTAGAAGAACGCGTCATTTTTCACCAAGGTAGTATAAAAAGGAATATTTTGTGCTTGTTTTCTATGAAATATATTTGAATTTATAACGACGGTGAAAATAAACGAGAAGATGCATGCTATTTTATTAAGCATGCTTACAGGACATACATGCTTGCAGACGGTCAAAAAAGTTCCTTCAACAGTCGTCATCTTGATGTGACTGTGAGATCCTGCGATAAGGCAGTATGATAATCAGTATTATAATCCTACTTCAGTAATTTTTTAAGAAGCGATTTTTTTTCAGAATTTCGGTTGACGTCTAATGAGACAGTGGAATCCAGTTATTTATTAATCCGACGAGCCGATTGATCTGATGGTAGGACTGCCTTTAGAGGTCCTATTTGCCCTTGACTAATAGCAATAACTTACTTTTACATTTTTCAGTAACCCAATTTTCCCTCTTTTTTCGTTAACTTCCATCAATACACGGTCGAATGTTCCTGAATAGGCATCAGTTTTTAAGCAACAGGAGTTTAGATTGATGGAGTTGTTTCTATTTAGTTCACGGAGACAAATATAAGTTTCTTTAATTTAATATTTTTTATCACCTCCAACACAATTAAATATTCATTTACATTCGCTAACCAAGAATTAAATGTATACC